TTGTCCAGATGTGATAAAGGGTGGAGGATGACCTTTACTGAAATTTTTTTTTTAAATTCTTAAGAGTTTTGTCCCCCTGGTATCCTGTCCTTCCTATCTTCCTCAAAAGGTAAAACCAAAACTTTAACAGCTTTGGTATACAATCTCTCTTGTGGCACAGACAACTTGATCTATGAGCTGGACAAGTTAGATGGTATTAGTTGCTAGTTTCATGCCTCTTATTTTACCTCTCGCAGTGTTTTAACCCTTAGTGTGGCCATTATCAAAATTGAAACCCTAACCCCCCCCCCCCCAAAAAAAAAAATACTTAGTTGGTCTAGATGAGCATCATGGTCTTATGTTGGAAGACTATGAGCTGAATTAAAGTTGATATGAAGTCTTTGATTGGGAAGCGAAAGAGTAACGCAAAGTTTACCTTACCTTGAAGTTACCTTGAGATGATTTCGGAGCTTAGCGTCCTCGTGGCCTGGTTCTCGACCAGGCCTTCTCGTTGCTGGACTAGTCAACCAAGCTACTGAATGCGGTTGCTCCAACACACCATTGCAGGTGTGCAAGTTGGATGCGGCTGCCTGACGTACGAGTCACAGCCTGGTTGATCAGGTAATCTTTGGAGGTGCTTATCAAGTTCTCTCTAGGACACTGTGAGGGGTCGGTCAGTTATGCCCCTTACGTGTACTGAAAGCATGTTGAACAGTCTCGGGCCTTTGATGTTAATGGTTCTCTCGGAGTACCTGTTGCACCTCTGCTCTTCAATGGGGGTATTCTGCACATCTTGCCATGCCTTCTGGTCTCGTGTGGTGTTTCTGTGTGGAGGTTTGGGACCAGCCCCTCTACTATTTTCCACATGTAAATTATGATGTATCTCTCCAGCCTGCGCTCAAGAGAATAGAGATTTAGGCACTTTAGTCGGTCCCAATAGTTTAGGTATTTTACCGAGTGGATTCTAGAGCAAAGGATCTCTGCACGCTCTCCAGGTCAGTAATTTCTCCAGCTTTGAAAGGGGCTGTCATTTTGCAACAGTAGTCTACTCGAGAGCACTAGCATCTTGAAAAGTATCATCGGTAATAGCATCTCTAGTGTGAAAGATTCTTGTTATCCAAACAGATTTTTCTTGCAGTGGTGATGGCTACTTTATGGTGTTCTTTAAAAGTAAGGTCTTCAGACATGAGTGCACCCAAAGCATTTACATTGCCTTTTTGTTCTATGTTATGATTTGACTGCGTTTTGTATGTGGTTTGTTTTTATATTCATTTTTTTCTGTAGTGCATGAGCTGGAACTTATCTTCGTTAAACATCATATTATTTTCTGTTGCCTGTAGAGACCTGATTTACATCTGATAGGAGGTTTGCCGAGTCCTGTTTTCTACTCGTAAAAATCCTAGTGTCATCTGCAAAGGAAGATACAGTACTATAGATTGTGTCCTTGTCTATGTCTGATATGAGGATGAGAAAAAGTACTAGAGCAAGCACAGTACCCTGAGGGGCTGAACTCTTCACTGTTGATGGATCGGATTTTATTTTGTTGACTTAGTATTAGTTGTATTAGTCAGAAAATTGTAGATCCATCTGCCTATTTTTCTGGTAATTCCTTTTGAACGCATTTTGTGTGCAATAACACCATCGTCACATTTGTCAAAGCCTTTTGCAAAATCTGTGTAAATTACATCAGCATTTTGTCTGTCTTCCATGGCATCTAATGTTGTCATAGTGGTCCAGCAACTGTGATAGGCAAGCATGCCCTGTTCTGAAACCATGTTGTCCAGGATTATGGAGATGCTGTGATTACATGTATTGTGTGATCTTCTTAGCACTCTTTTTTTTAAGATTTTTATTGTGTGTGATGTTAATGCTATCGGCCTGTAGTTTTTTACCTCTGCCTTATGTCCTCCTTTATGGAGTGGTGCTATCTCCACTCCAAATATAGAGAAAAAATATATCAGATTTCTCTTTCACTGATGGCCTTTTGCTCTCTTGTCTTTTGTATGATTCTTGTAGCTTTGGTTCAGTCATTTCTATTTCTCTATCTAGCCTTCATCATCATTCTTGAGTTAGGCTGTGACTCTCAAGTTGTTCCGCGATTCGTTTTCTTCGCCTATAGAGGGAACGCCGTTCCCGTTTTCGTAGGGGTATGCGATTTGAGCATATTTCTAGAGCTACCAAGTATATTTTTTTCCAGGCACTGGAAAAAATAAGTGGAAAAATTCCAAGTACTGTACAATACTTGGGTATGGAAAAATTAAAACTCAAAACAAAATATTGGTTACGAGACACAACCAGATCTATTCACAGTAGGAAAGCAACATGTAAATGATCTGTGAATAATGTCTGATAACTGACAACCTGACATTTAATGAGCATAACCAAGCAAATATAGTGTCAGATAGAAAAACTATAGGATGGATTATGAGAACTTTCAAACCCAAAAATCCCATCAAAAAGCTCATACTATTCAAATAAAATATGTTGTCCTGCCTTGAGTCATGCTCGATACTCGCTTCCCCTTTCAACATGGGAAAAGTTGCTGAACTGGAGGCAATACATAGAACATGTGAAAAGACAACAGGGATATTGCATAACATACACGTTGAAAACATTGGAAGGTCAAATAAAGTACTGGAGTGAATGGTGTAGAAAATGTAGAATAATGCCAGTGAAGAGTAGAGGTGCCATAGACAGAGATTCTATGATCATCGGAGGTCTACAGCTGTTCAATATCCTCTCAGCAAGTATAAAAAATATTACTGGAACAAAAGTGGACTTTGAGAAAAAAAATTTCCAGCAAGAAATATTGGACTAACTGGAGTGTAATGGATATGTAGGCCTGTGGGCTGCTCAAAGTGCTTTAAAGTCATGCCTAGCCTCAGCCCAGGTTTGGAGTAGGTAATCACTGGTTCTATAACTTTCAGAACCCACTCCAGGTACAATTCAGATAAGTCAAACTCTAAACTATTTTGTGGCCTCCCACTACTACTGAGATGCATCACTGAGCTATTGGAAACCATATATACAATGTTGGTATTGAAACATTTAACATAATCGTATGATCAGTACACTGGCAATGTCTGCGGTTTGAGCGTTTTAATTTGTTTGGTTTTGCATCATTCCCCTGTGATTGTGCGTACAGTTCTGTATGTGCCATCTGTCTTTGTGTATCGTAGCTAAAATTCTGTTATTACTTTTATGTCCTGGCACGGTTGCATGTCGATAGTTTCATCAGGAAACCCTCTCCAATACAAAGCAGTTTAATCGGCATTGTATATTTGAAACTTTTTTAAATTGTCATAAAAATTGTTTTTACTTGTCCTGAATAGCTAAATGCTGCTCTGATTTGAAGATTCACCTACAATCTTACTTCTGGATATATGTTTTACCATGTTTTAACTCTTGTAATCCAAGCATCACTTGCCTTGAAATGAGTTATCCCTAAACCGATCGTAAACCTGCCGGCTGCTTTTTCTTCGTAGATTTCCATATGTGCTGTGCAATGCTGTGTGAACCATTCATACGGGTTATTGTCATCTGTGCATAATGTGCAAGTTTCATTTTCCTGTTACAATCTCGCCAGCAGTCATTTTGCATATATTTGTTTTAATTCAGTATCAGATTCTGTACATATGCCTCATGATTATTCTTAATCGATGGCCACTTACTCCCTAGCTCCAACCACGTGGATTGGTCAGTGTAGCAATGGTTTCCCATCTTGCAAGTCGGTGTTTGCACCCTGATGGTCCAAGTAGTTGGCCACCACTCCACCCATCTGTCCTATCCCAGCTTTTTGTCCTCGTATTCTTTCAAGGTACTATATTTGTACTGTACTAGCTTAGCACATTCTTCTAATAATTATCCTAAGAAATTTCTTTACAAATGGGTAAAGAGTGCTATTGTTGCAAGTGCTACGCTTACAAGAGTATTAACCCATGGCTCGCATACCTCATGGGGTCGGGACAGATCCAGTTGTGGCAAGGTGCATAAACTGTCAGATAAAAAGTAACTTGCTTATATTAGCAGGTAAATAAACCACAATGTACAGCATATATACACACACTTTTAACAATCGACAATTGTTTAAAAATTCATTAATATAAATTAGTGGTTTACTGGCAGCAAAGCTACATAATTTGGATTTTTCAGAATCTAGAGATGGTCAAACTTGATCAGTCTAAATCTGTGGCAGTCAATGCAGGATGCAAAGCATTGATGAAAGAGTGAGGTTAAAGCAGACATATTTGTAGGGAATCATTCACAAATTAGACAGCAATAGGAATGAGTAATATGATTTTAAGTGTATCTGCACCCCAAGATGTGAGAGAGAAGACCAAACAAGGTCAGGACCTTGGTGCATTTAGCACATAAGTAGTGGACATGTGAAAACTTATTATATTCGCTGTAAAAAGTGTTCCACCATCTGCCTTTAAACCTTTGTACAAGTTAACTAACATAAAGATAGTGACTCTTGGGGTTGATATTAGATGCTCGCCCACCTTCTCACTGAATGTACCCTTGGCCTACGGTATTGTAAATTTATTATGGAATGAAAGTTATGTATGACAGTGTAGAAATCTGGTTAAAGAATTTGCTTTTAGAAGATGGAACAGGGGAATGTGGCTTCTTTAGCAACAGCTTCTGCAAGGTAATTGAAGGCAATGTTAATATTGTTGGGATACCAGTAAAACCATGGTTTTAAATCTGTTAAAGATGAGGTACAGTGTTGTAAAATGGCATTTCATTAAATTGCAAGCCATGAAACCATTCTACATTGCTGTGCTGCTCATTTAAAATATTTTGGTTAATACAGTATTTATCATAATCTAGAAGGCACCTTTCTCCTGAAGCAAGATTGCCCAGACACAATGCACAACGCACTTTAGTTTGCAAAACAAATATCTAAAAATGCATGAAAATCTAATATTCTTTTTAATACAGTATTTCAATTTAATTGCACCCCCTCACAATGCTTAATATTCAAGGTTTGATTGTTTAAAGACAAATGCATGTTTCAGAATGCACACACCTTTCAGTTATTGCATCATCCCTGAGTGCAGTGAAGGCAAGAGCTACTGATCCTAGTAAGTTGTTCCAATTCACTTCACATCCTTGTATGCACCTTTTCGCCGAGGTCTTTATTTCTCCCAATTATAAGCCATGCATATTTGTGGTTAGTGTGCCACTGAAGAGTTCAACATATAATAGCTCATTGAGTTTTGTTTCGTGCAGTACTTTGGGAACTGAAATCTACCGTTGGTTTGTCAGATTTTTAAAATAATGGATAATTTAGTAGAGGAAGGAATTAGTATTTGCTTTCACAAACCCTGCAAGTCACATTTATTGCAATGACCATAGTGCATGCATCTTTACTGGCTTATAATTGTGGAAGTAAACCTCCTGTTCGTGAACTTTTTTCATGTGCTCTGATTACATCAAGCTTGCTTTCATGTCTTGGCTTTCATGGTAGCTATAGTTGGGTATAAGGCAAGGTATTGCAAGCTAAGGTAGCTAATGCATCTTTCTTGGTGTTCAGTTAATTACTATAACAATCGGTGACTAACCCAAGGCTAGTATTGTATAGAATATAATTACAAATTGATTGCCAGCAAACTGGCAATTTGTTAAACCCACTAGTTTTCTTACCATGCTTGGCTTGATGTCTTCTTTCGATAATTACTTGCTTTGATACCATGTTATTAAAATAAGTACATGAACCATACATCGTGATATTACAAGCTTATGAACAGAATGCAAATAATAAGCCTTAGGTCAATTTGAACTTTCCATTGTATTTCAATGTTTGGAAGGAAGGTAGCTTGATCATTGTTCTACTTAGTCGCGTAGAACTGGTGAAATCTGGTTGGTTTTCCAACAGCTGGTTTTCCAGCTGTTGGGAAAACCAACCAGATTTCACCAGTTCTAGGCAAATTGAGTTAGTATTTAATTGAAACAATCAATTAATTTATTTAAGGAATTAAATAGACATTTTGAGTTCTATGGAATTTGGTGATAACTTTTTTCCTCCTGAAAGTATACATGATGGTGTTTGACTGGTCTTGTAAATCTTTGCCATGTAGAACATGTTATTTCGTCCTGACATTTTGTCTAATTTAGGCACTTTTTTTTTATTATGTGAAGAATGTTTTAATCTATTTCATAATTGAGGGACATTTTTTCCTCATTTTCTTGGTACCTTGTGCACATACTAATTCTTCATTAACACTTTATATACTGCAGCCTTGCTTGTCAATCTCAGTATCCCGGATAGTTCTTGATTACTTTCTGGGTAACAGTTGGTCATCATGTCTTTCACCTACTTTACAGCATGGGTACAGTTGTTAATCAACCCCTCTCCCCCTTACAGTATTGGTCACCCCCATCTTACAGCATAGGTACAACTACTCTCCCTTTTAACATCGTAGGTACAGTTGGTAACTCCATTTTTCAACAAACAGTAGGTATTATTGTGGTGATTATACTGAGGCTGGCAGTTGTAATGCTGATGTTGCTGTCCCCTTCTGAGTAGTTTACCAGAGGCAGGAGACTGTAATAATGCTGCACCACTTTACATGATCACTAAATTAACTAAGAAATGTGTGAAAATGAATGGTTGTGAAGGATAGTAAAGTTACAAGAGTATAGCATGCAAATACTGTATACAATGTACTTATAGTATTTATATCAGAATAATGGCTGAAGTATATAAATACAACTGAATATAAAAGGAGGCCCTATTAAGTGATAGGCATTTTATACAATTTTAGATATTTAAAAAGGATTAATTTTCTCAATTTTTTCTCCATTTTTCTAGGGTAAAATTCTGAAATGTATAACAAATTTTAATAAGCCATTTATATTTCTACTGATAGATGCCTAGGTAGCTCTGGTGGGGCTCTTTAGCTCCATAAACTGTGATCTGGTAAATATTCGACATGCTCAGAGTAGTGTCATGTTTTTCAATTTCCTCTCAGGTTCCCCAAGACATTTTTCTGTACTCTGAATTGTTCATATTTTAATCAGGGTATTGTACAACGTCTTGTGTTAGTAGTTGCACAATTCATTGTTTTGGCAATTACTAATTTGATTGATTAGTAGACTTGTCAACAAATGTTTTTTAATCCTCCACCTAACTTTTCCTCAAGTTTATAATGTTCTTTCAAGTTCTTTCCTTACCTTTCAAGTTTCATTTTATCCCTTTGTAACACATTCTGGTATTTCTCCTCTTCCTTAATCTTCTCTTGCTCCCCTTCCTTTTATCTCCTCTACCACTTGTCTACCTGACTACACCGGTTATTCCAGTAGTTTATTTACTGGTCAAGTGTAGTTAGTGGTAATTGAGGTGGAGGCGGTAGAATGGTTGGGGAGGTTAGACGCAGCTGTGTGATGGTGATGTTGACTGTTGGTGTTGGGGCCTCGGTGGCAACACTCGCCTGCTCCCTGGACAGGTGAGTTGTTGCAGGAAAATAATAACAAAGGTGCCACACTAAAATGGTAATTTAATGCTATTGATCCTTTCTTGTATTACCAAACTAAATGTGTATTGTAGATGCTTGTAAATTGGCCTAGTTTTAAAGTTTGACTAATGCCCAAGTACTGTACATACTGTGTATTCCTTCAGGCTTAAATTTTAGTTCTTGTTTTATTACTGTTTTATCTTGATTTGCTTTGATGTACAACCCTATTTTATTTTAATTAACCCATTTTTCTTCTGTAGGCAATCTGTATTTCATCAACATTGCTGAAACAATGAGACCCGATATAACAGCCATCAATCACACTGCTGCTCGCTCTTTTGGTTTTGCATATCTTACCTTAAACCAACTTCTTGGCTCTCCTCTTTATTTTTCCTATCCTGCATTTTCATTGCAGGCCTTTTTATTCATCAATCCTTTCTACCAACTAACCAACTTTTTTGTAAGTTTTAAAACCATTATTAAGTCTGTACAGTATGTGTTTCCAGATAGTAAAAAAAAAAAAAAAAAAAAAAAAAAAAAAAAAAAAAAAAGTTATGATGGGTCATAAGGGGGAGGGAAGGGGGATGGGGGGGGATGCATGTGTTGACAGTACCTGTACCTAGAGTACCGATGTTCTTCATAAGTCTGTCCTTTCTTTTTATTCCCAATTTAAATTGTGTGTGCACTTCAGTTACTTTTAACTAGTGTGTTTTTTGGAGGCAATTTGCATAAATTTTTATTTCATGATACTTTTTTTTTTACCACACATTTCTTTAATTGATGTACTTGTTTCTCGTGTGTGTGTGTGTATATATATATATATACATATATGTAATATACACACTTTGATAATGTTTAAAAAACTGCACACAGCTGTCTAAACTGCCAAAACATTAGAGCAATTTCAGATGCAAGGGAGAAAAGTTCAATCCAGCCCAAAATGACTGCCAGTAGAATATTTTTAAGACTCGAAAGTTCAGTTCACTAATTGATTGTTTGCCTGCCTGGGCTACTTGCTATTGTCTCCCCTGCCACCCACTGCAATGACAGGACCATGCCTACCCAAAGCTCCATTATCCTGATTATGTGTTAGTACAGTCTGGAGAAAACGAGCTTAATTTGATTTGAAGATCCAAAGGGTTCAAAATAAATTAAGCTTGTTTTTCATCCTATTAAACAGTTTTTGCCTATACTATGGATACTTTAACTTAATATGTAAAACTTTGAGTTTTACTACTTCATTCACTTTTCCTTTCTTGTGATACACATATTTACTGCTGTGCACTTGGGTCTGTTATACTCCCAAGTCAAGATTTTGCCATTTGTTATGCCTTCATAGTGTTGGGCATAATGGGGCATGGGGCACCATTATGAGAACTGGCAAAACTGTACATGGTGCAGCATTCTGGTTTGTCATACAAACATTTCAACTGTTAGACTTGCGAGTAGATTCATCTCGTATGCATCAGCTGTTGGGTTTTGGGGAATGTTGAAGCCCTCTTCTTGGTGGGAGATGTACAAAGATGCTAAGTTTTAGGGTTGTGATTTAAATTTCATCAATGGCAGTCTAGGTTTCCAACTTTGCATACAGATGTCCTCTACAGGTATTTTTAAAATGACTTGTGCAAATCAGATTGACTTGTGTTGATTTCGGGTCTCAACGTCCCTGCAGCATGGTCCTTAACCAGGCCTTCTGGTTGCTGGACTGGTCAACCAGGCTGTTGGACGTGGCTGCTCACAGGCTGACGTATGAATCAGCCTGGTTGATCAGATATCTTTTGGAGGTGTTTATCGAGCTCTCTGTAACACTGTGAGGGTCAGCCAGTTAGTTATGCCCCTTATGTGCGGTGGAAGCATGTTGAACAGTCTCGGGCCTCTGATGCCAGGGATGTCTTGAGGTCTGTTCTTAGGCACTTCAACTTCAGGCATTTCAGCTCTTGCTTAATCTACCAAGTTGTCAGATTCCAATCTGGCTGCAGGACCAAAACAATTTTGGCCTTCAGGCAGGTGTTAGCTGGTGTGAGATGGAGGATAGTGTCTCTTTTTCATTCAGGGCGTGCAGAGGTTTCAATTTCTCCCTCTTGCAGGAGGGAAATTCCTTCCCAGCAGAAGTGGTGAGTCCTTCCTTTGCTTGCTTTCTTCCCCTCTTCCAATTTTGAGCTCGAGGTTCTTTGGGTCTTTCCTGCATGAAAATGGGGAAAAGCTTTTCTTCTTCAAAGATCAAGAGTATAGCTAAGCCAGAGAAATAGAGTATCTGCTGTTTTCCTTTTAATGCAGAAAGGAAAAATGGTGATGGAAACCATCTTCGGTGGTTTCCTAATAAGATGCCAGACTTTTGTCATCCTTCGTTCTATTGTGACAAGGTGGTTTGACAAATAGCTGGGAGAAGTGACAGTGAAAAATGTTCCGTCAATCTACCACCAGTCACTACTTGTGACTACCAGGCCATCTTTTTAATAGATGGCTTTCTTCAGGATGTGACCATTGAGGGCGCTTTTGTTTTCTTGTGCCCTTCTAACAGGCAGGACATTATTTATGCTGACTTCCCTTGGCTCTGTTCTGTATCACAGGTGTTGCCATTCCTTTTTCTTGTAATTTTTCTCTGGTATCCTGTTACAAAGTTGTACCTTAAAGAGGAACAGGATATAAATATATATCCTGTATATGTAGCTACAGTATATATAAATATAGCTCATAAATAATGTTGAACCCTTAAATAGCTTAGCAAATTAAAGATCTTGCATGATAATGTGCATGACAACAATAGTGCACAAGACTAAAAAAAAAAAAAAAAAAAAAAAAAAAAAAATGCTTTTAGCAAATGGGCACAGGAGGTAATTAGTGATTAAAACAGTTTAAGGGTTAGTTAATATATAAAGTAAATTTGAGTGTATCCCTGTTCCAATCCCTCCTGTCTTTTTGGTCTGTGTGCAGATTATTTTTTTTTTATTAGGGAGCACGTGAAGAGGTCTGAGATTGGGTATTTTGATATTGGTGGCAGCAGGAAGGAGGCCTGGCATGCATACTAGTAGTTAATGAATACATGGTAGACTGGACTGTGCTCTTCTCCAGTGCTTCACAGCACTTATGAGACCTTGTGGTGCCAATTTCTAGAATGTCATCCTATCTAACTGTACATTTACCTTTGGAAGCAATAGTGATCAGCTTAAAGGTGCTTTTCTGCGGGGAGCCCCATCAGCTCCCTGAAGCTATTTGAATTTGTGCTAAACCAGTTTGGGGTCATCAGTCACAAGAGTTCTTATGCCTACTGGGGACCATGGGCCAGAACCTGGCCACCCTCAAGAGAGGTTCAGGGAGCAATGGCCTATGAGCACTTTACATTTAAAGTATGTCATAATTGCCATCGACCGGGAAAGAACCCAGAAAGGTAGGCAAATCAAAACAGACCACTGTCTGGTTAGCCTGTACAATCTACATCCCAAAAGATCAAAATAACTCCCCTAGAAAGAAACCAAACGAGCAACCCTTCATGTGACTAGCACTTCCGCTTGTTAGTGCTACCCCCACCCTCCCCCCGCTTGTTAGTGCTACCCCCCTACCCCCCCACTAAGGAAGGGGAAGGGGCAGATGGCAGCCCACCACTCCAGTTCTTGAACTGATGTGCTAGTGGTCAGTTCAGTCACCTCTGGCCTCAAGTTCCTGTTCTGGATTTTTGCCCTGTGTGGCTGTTCCAGCTGTATTGGTGTGGTGGCCAGGTGTCGTAGTGTACAGGAGCAGCATGTGCCTAGGGTGACCTTCCCTAGGTGCTTGGTGAGTACTGCCCTTGAATGTCAGGGTTATCGTCCTTGGGGCATTCGGGAATCACTCCCCGTTTGAAGCCTCCATCTCTTGATGTTGTCTTCTTCGGCCTTCGGGTACTGCGGGGGGTCTAGGGCTTTGTCTTGCCCCGGGTAGGGCAGCGTTATTGGTCGGGTGGGGCGCACTGTGGCTGGTGCAGATAGCTTTACTTCAATGCAACAACCAATGTTTCTGACTGCTAGTTTGTGTGTCTCTCTTCAGGGGTTTTGTTTTCATTTTCTTTCCTTTCACTGGCGTTATCGCCTTTAGACAGAGGAGGTCTACTTAGCTCCTTATTAGGCAAGCCTAGGTTATGTTGGTGGTAGTCCTCTGTTTACCCCAAGATTTCATAGCTGCTACTGGTGGCTTGGTAAGCCCCAGTGCCTGGGCTTCCCATAGGGCTCATTCACCCTACAGACCCTGGAAAGCCCCCTGTGGGCTCGGTCATACAATGGTTACTTCTTTCGAGCCCGCTCTTGCCTTTTGCGAAGTCGAAGGTTGTTCATTGCCCCCCTGCCACAGGGAAACTATCATCCGTCCTGCTGCCTGTTGGGTCGGGACACCCGGAGTCTTGCAGGCCTTGTTCCCCACTTGTACTTCAATTTACTCATTTCTTGTCTGTTGATCTCAAGGAACAAGCATGGCTGCATTGCTTGCTCAATTCATCTTACTGTAGTGGGCCAGGATGGTTGCCAGTTTGGAGGCCTCTGGAGCTACCCTGCTTAGGTTTTAGGGCCCAGGATTTGGGGGCATTGGTTCCTTCAACCTTCATTCCTTCCACACCCCTGCTTTCTTCCCAAGTGGGCATGGCCCCCATCACCCTTACTTCCAGCTCCCGAATATCTAAGGCTTCAGAGTCAAGGCGGGGTTTCGCTCGGGATGAGGCTCTGGTGGCTTTGGGGGCTGCCCCTTCAGATTTGGGCCCGGAGGTGGTAGTCAGATTTTCCTGCTGAGGCTTCTGGGGTTCCTGTATGTCTTTACCTCAGTCAAGCTGTTGCTCTGGGTCCTAGCTCGCTTGGAATCCTATTGGGGAAGGGCAATTCTCCTGGCTCAATGGTGGCTGGCCCATCCTTGGTTTCAGGTACTGCTTGTTCGGTGTCCGAACCCAGGCATTTTTCTGCAGTTCCGCCTCTTCCAGCAGATCGGGCCAGTGAGGTACCTCGCTGGTTCACCTTACTGTGGTCGTCTTAATGCGAGTGTGTATCGCCATTTTATATTGTGATCAGGTGACTTCTTTAATGATGTCCCACCTGCGGTCTTTTTCCCAGTGACAGTATGCAGTTTCTTGGTGGTCTTTCCGTAACTTTTTCTTCTCAAAGGTTTACGTCTATTTTGGACCGGGTTGTTTTGGCCCCTCTGCTTTTCTGGATCGGCATCTCATGCCTAATACTGCAGTGCCGCTTCTTACCACGCAGCATTGGCAGAGCCGCTCGAGCTTGTGTTTGGAGTGGATGTGGCTTCCGCTTCGTGCCGAAAGCTTTCACCTCCATTTGTTTTTTAACCTCCGGCCTGCTCGTGCGCCACCTGAGCCTTCTTAGTCTTTAGACCATGTTATTTCTTTCTTCTCCTCGTTTTGTTGTGCCCCCTTTTGTTAGGGGAAAAACAGGGAAGGCCTTGTTTTTATTGACCTTATCCTCTGGCATTCAGGTTGGAAAGCTTCATGCTTTCCTCCAACACCAGGAGTTCTATTCGTTTAGTCCAGGTGGTCGTTTTGTTAATTTGCGGCCTTCTCCTTCTTTACTAGCATAGATTGAGATGGCTGGCTTCCAGAGGGGTCAGTTGGTTGTGGATGCTTGGTTTGTTAGACCAGGGGTGCATCACGTGTTGCATTCGGTGGCAGCTTTACGCCGCTACCTGAGAACCAGGTAGCGCTCGGGGTTCGTGTCAGGTTGTCCAGTGTCATAAAGTCCAACCAGCCTGCGGTCTACCTTCATGTCGATGCTGCTCTTGCAGCAGTTTTTGGCAAAGTATCTTGGGAGGTTGAACAGGGTCCTCCTGGCAGCCAGGTATCGAGTGAATGTTCTGGTTCCTTCCCAGCCATGTGTGGTTTGGGGGAGCCTGTCATGGCTGCCTGTCTCTCCTTCGTCCTGAGACCTGCGATGCTGCCGCCTCCTGGATACGTCCCTCCTTTTACCCATCTTTGAGTAGTTAGCTTCAGGGAGCCGACAGGGTTTCCCACAGAAAACCAGCATTGAATGTAATGAAACGCCATTTTCTGGATGTGCCCCAGAGGCTCCCTGACACTCTCCTTCCCTCCGGTCGGCGGTTTTTCATCGTTCATGAACTCGAGCGAGCAGCAACCAGCTCCCCTTTCCGTATGGGGGGAGGGGGTAGCGCCAACAAGCGGAAGTGCTAGTCGCATGAAGGGTTCCTTCTTTGGTTTCTTTCAAGAGGTTATCTTGATCTTTTGGGATGTAGATTGCACAGGTTAACCTGACAGTGGTCTGTTTTGACAGACCACTGTCAAAACCTTCTGGGTCCCTACCGGTCGATGGCAATTATGACGTACTTTAAATGTAAAGTGTTCATAGGTCATTGCTCCCTGCGCCTCTGAGGGGACCAGGTTCTGGCTTGTGGTCCCCGGTTGACATAAGAACTGTGACTGATGACCCCTAAACTAATATAGCACACATCAGTTCAAATAGCTTCAGGGAGCCTACAGGGCTTGTCCAGAAAATGCCGTTTCATTACGTTCAACGCTGTTTTTTTTTTTTATATTCTCAAAACCTTATACAGTACTTTAAAAATATTAGTATGTATTAAAAATAATAACTTTTAAACTGCAAGTAGCTCTTACAAATAATTGTGTAAAATAGCTTTATCAATGGGTCACATCCAAGAGGTCTTGAGTTGGGTTCAATTTCTGTGGCAGAATAGTGTTGGACAACATTTCTTTTCACTTCATGCCTCTGTTCACCTAGCAATAAATAGGGACCCAGGTTTTAAACTGTTGTGGGTTGCATCCTGAGTAAGGTCACTTGCAGGCCTAGGAAGACCTTGATAAGCCTAATAGGCTTCCTGTCCCCCAACCATGAACAATTTTTTTATCTAATGTATGGGAATAACAAAAATTATGATTACAAGAATATTGATCTTAAAAGAAGTGTAAAATGTTGAAGACTAATTTTTCTTTGATAATTTCAGAATGTGAGAGAAATGCTTATCTCCTTGGTGGTAAATGTTTGCAAAAGTGCCCAGAGAATTACTACGGGTGGAACCCACAAGCTATGGGCGCAACAGAATCCTTGAACTGCCGTCCTTGTCACTACTCATGCCGCAGCTGCTCTGGCCCACAAGATTATGAATGCACAGTGTGCTGGGGAGATGCTGAGCTGTATAGTCCTTCTGAGGTAATGGAACTCTTGTTTGTAGATCATATATCATACAGTAAAAGAATCATAATGCTGTAATAATGAAAGGAAACCAGTGATATAAAATGTTTTATATACAGTGGAACCTCGTTTTTTTTTTTTTTAATTTAATCTGTTCCCAGAGACGGTTCAAAAACCTAAAATCTGAAAACCGAAGCAAGTTTTTCCATAAGAAATAATGTAAATTTAATTAATCCATTCCACACCTCCAAAAATATTAACTTAAAAATACATTTTATACATAATACTACTGTGCTTATATTTTGTACTACAGTATGTACAAGTATATCTTGCCTTTATTGAGGACTCGTGTTGGCGTATGGAAGATAGTGAGGAATGGAGGGTGGGGGGAGGAGGAGAGGTGTTAGTGTTTGGAAGGGGAGTCCCCTTCCATTATAACATCAGTGATGACATTTCTGGGGGTAATGTCTCTCTCTCTCACGTTTTTATTATTATGAAGTTTGGCAATTAGCATGGATATAGTGATGCACATTGGGTTAATGGATGAAAGAAATGTTTTGAAGCACTCCTTTGTGAGGGGTATTGTTATTGATTAAGAAAATGCTTAAGGGGTGGTTCTAGATAGAAAACTATCACCTGAGGACCACATAAAGAATATTGTGCGAGGAGCCTATGCCACGCTTTCTAACTTCAGAATTGCTTTTAAATACATGGATGGCGATATACTAAAGAAATTGAAATTGAAATTGGAATTGAAATAGGTGGCCATTGAGGACTCTATTTTCTTTAAATGTACAAAGTTTTGAAAATAGTAATATTGAATATGGAAGAAATGTTTAGGTCAGCCTTGTTGATTAAAGTAATGCCAAAAATGTTCATGTGTAGTAATAAAATGGAAGATAATGGTGAACTAGAACAACTTAAAGAAATTATAGCAAGTCTAGATTTTGTGTATAATTATTTTTTTTTCTTTGCAGGGTCAGAAACATTGTCATCCTCTTTCTCTACTTAATGCATATCGCAGCCAACAGTCATGGTATGTAATTCTACTCGTAATCCTGCTTGGGTTGCTGCTCGTTGTACTGTTTTTAGCAGTACTTGTATTTCGGGCACACAAAACACACCTTCGGTCGTCTATAGCTGTTAATTCTGTAGCCAACCTTGGACCATTAGGTAGCACAAAATCCTCTTCCAATGGAAATACAGCATACACCCCTGTAGCGAGAGGGGACTCGGAACAACTGATTACAAAAATACCTTTCCATGATCTCACTAGTGACGAAGAAATATAGAATATATTCATATTAGGGTGATATTGATATAAAAAATGTACAGAAAATTACTTTAATATTCTTTTATAAAGAAAAATTACTCTACATTGCCTCTTTTAATAAGGTTTTAAATACAGTACATTAATGTTGTAAAAAGGTAGCCAGTCATAACATATACTTAATATTTTGAAAAAACTTACCTCACCTGTGATGAGGTTGTAAATAAGTACATACCTTTTTATGAGTAAAAGAGTAATGATTACCACATAAGAAATGTGTTTCAGGTAAAGCACAAATTGTGTATTTACTGGTGTTAACCACTGAAGTACAGCATTTAAGGTCTTGGCTTCAGTGTTCTAGGTGTGAAGAGTTGAAATTGAATAATCTTTGCATTTTGTATAAATTTATTAATGTTCAGAATTAAGTGAAAGCAGTAAAGATCTTTGAAGTTAATAATGAAATTAACTGAGAACACATCTGAACGATGCGACCTTGAGCCTTGAATAGTGATGCATTATCAAGCATGGTTTAAGAATAGAATTATTATACACTAGTATAATGTGTTAAAGATGAAATATTAGAAACTTTTAAGGCTATAAAATTGCCTAGAGTTTTTGGTGCTTATTCCTGAAAGGTACCGAGTAATGTATAGTAATGTTAATATCCATCTATTCATATATTTATATTTTCTTTCATATGGGTAATGAACTTATTGTACATAATGTGCAAAAATTAATTCATTAAATACTTTAGAATTTTTATTACTGTAAATTGTATTTTCATTGTTTCTTGTTAAAATTTGTAAAACTGTAAATATTTTATCAATTATTGCAGCTTAAATTTATATTTTTAAGACTGAAATATAAACTTGTAAAGGAAGAATATATATTTTAAAATCTAAATTGAAATTATTATTACTAATATGCAGCATTACAAAATATTGCAAGTTGGTACATTCTATGGGGATAGTAAGCTGGGTGGTAGCCGATAGTTTGGACTTGCCAAGATGAAGTTCTTGGTAGTAAGTGGACAAGTCTTCCCCAGTGTTAGTAATTCTGACATGGTATAGTTTTGGAGGTAATGAAGTTTGGTTGTTAACTGGTATCATGCACAGCTAAATTGGTAACGAGTCTCTTTAAATATACTTGTACAGTCCTAGTTTTCTAACATAGCCAACTTGATCTGAAATCATGAATTTCACCACATTCCAAAGTGAGCTTGACTCTGATCATTCAAAGTTAATTTAATACACCTTTTTAAAAATAAAATTATTTACCTAATGAGAGTACAAAGTTTTTATAATGCAAAAGTACTCTGGGCATTAAAGTTTTCCTTCTCTCAGTCTTGCAATAGGAGTGACAAATTCAATGTTCATTGATTTCCTTAGTAGCTTTAATTTTATTTGAAATTATATTTGATCTGAAGAAATTGCAGGAAATTCATGACCGAAGAAAATGTTTGACCACATAGTTGTCGTTTATGCATGTTTAAATCCAGAAACAAAAGAAATGCTACTTAATTTACTTATGTCCTAAAACCTTAATTTAAAACTTTTGATCATGTTTTTATTGCACTGTACTTATCAGGTGTGTGAAGAACAATGCTCATGTGTTCATAGCTAAGTTAATACTTTAACCATGAAAACAAGTTGTAGATTAATTTATGAAGGCAATAATTTGTTATTTTTTGAACTTTCATTTGCTGAGTCATTGTAAATTTAAAAGTTGTGGTTTTTCTATAAAAAAAAAAAATTGGTCTGTACAGAAAACAAGTATTCAGTTTGGGATGACCATTTTGTTAAAGGAAAAACATTTTTGTAATACTAAAATTTATTTAAATGAAAATATACAATTGAACTTGAAGAAATTATATTTTGTAATTAAGCAAATCTGCTTTTAAATATTATTTAATAACAAGGTTTTAAATAAATTTGTTCCTAATAATTTTAAAATGTGAAAATTGATTTATATTTAACATAGCAGTTTACTTGTTTCAAAAAAAATTTCATGCAGGTCAGTAAGAAAATAAATTGATGGATGTGTAATGTTAGAGCAATTGATCTCATAGCTGCAGGTGTAATTCATCAACTGCTCAAATTCATCATTGTGCTGCTACATAGGATATTGTCTGTGATGTCAAAGTTTTCTTAAATGTTTAGCGAGCTTTCAGTGGTAGAAATATTTTTGTAAGATTCTATACCGTCATCTCTTTAACAGCAACTAATAAGTATTACCAGCTGTTGAACTGGAAGAAATGTTGTGGTTTAAAGGTGCAAAGTTGAGAAATTTCAAAATATGCATGTCTCGATTTCAAAATCGTGCACGATTAACAATCGTGCATATTTCAAAATATGCACGATTGTTATAAATATTTGTTGTGAAAGTCATTACAGCACTTCTAATCATGCCACAATCGGATTATTGATAAAACATGTATTACGTAGTTAATTTTTTAATTTCCTTTTCTAAATTTAAAATGTTTAAATTTGCCTTAATCCAGTCAGTCATTATCTATAATTAAATTTAGAAACACAGTTGTGCAATTCCTAAATGTATGAAGTAGGTATTAGAATCATAAATAAGAATGTCCAGATAGTTAATATCCAGATACATAAAATTTTTTACAGATTAAATATTTTTGTAAAAGTCAAAATTTTATTGTAGAGGTGATAATAAATTTTCAGGTAATTATTAGTGAACTTTTTAAAACCTGTAATATATTGTTACTTTATTTTTAGATTTGGGGGGGGGGGGACATGATAAGCAAGGGTAAAAAAATGTGTATACAGTGGTACCTTGGTGTACGACTGCCCCAGAGTACGATTTTTTTTGGTATACGATGTCAAAATCATCGTAAAAATGGAATTGGTGCATGACGTTTTCCTTGGAATGTCTGTTGATACGTGTTTGGGTTGCAGGAATGTGTGGTGCTGGGGTGTGGGGCGATTGTTTACCTGCCTACCCACTCAGTAACGACTGTGCTTGAAATCTTTGTAAAGAATTTCATTGTGCTTTTTTTTTTTTCCTGAACATAAAAGTCCTTATTATATATCACACCATGGGTCCCATAAAAGTCAGTGTTAAAGTTCAACCTAAGAAAATAGTTGAGGATGACGATAGAGGAAAAACAAGAGAGCATTAGTAAACATGAAAATGGTATGCAGGTTGTTGATGTCCCTTCCTCGTTAAGAAAATATGTGTAGTATGGGAAGAACTGCAAAGTTTTGCTGAAAAATAACACCCAGATAAAGTTGTAACCTTTTTAATGACAATGTAATGTCTCACTACAGACAAATGTTAAAACTTAAGGAAAAAAAGAGTGTCAATAGACAGGTTTTTAGTGAGACAAACAAGCAGTGAGCCACAACTAGGTCCTAGTGGTACACCTACAAAATGTAGGAGAGAGATAGAGTACTCCAAAAGAGTCATCACTGCCTGTTATAATAGTGGAAGGGGACGTCCCTTCCAAACACTAACACCTCTCCTCCTCCCCACTCCTCACTACCATACACCAACAAAAGTCCTCAATAAAGGTAAGATATACATAAATTACTGTATTGTAGTACAAAATGAGTGGTATTCAGTATAAAATGTATTTTTAAGTTAATCTTTTTGGGGGTGATGAACGGATTAATCCAACTTACATTATTTCTTATGGGAAAATTCGTTTTGGTTTACGAATTTTTGGTGTACGACATCTCTGGGAACAGATTAGGATTGTAAACGAAGGTACCTCTGTACACTGTACAGTACATGTACTTTATGTAAAGATTTGAACTAGACACTTTCACTCTCTCTCCTGAGTGCACTATGAAGACCTTGATAATGCACTCAAAAATGGAAAAAACTTGGTGTAGCTCAAATCTTTATATAAAATATACAGTGGCACCTCCACTTATGAATTTAATCCATTCCCAGACAAGCCGTAACTCAAAAATTCGTAACTCGAAATTAATTTTCCCATTAGAAATAATGTAAATTGAATTAATTCATTCCACACCCCAAAAAAATATTAACTTAAAAATACATTTTATACCAAATAATACTCTTTTTGTACTAGCTACAATAATGTGTATCTTTACTTTTATTGAGAACTCTTGTTGGCGTATGGAAGACGGTGAGGGAGGGGGGGAAGAGCAGGTGGTGGTAATGTTTGGAAGGGGAGTCCCCTTCCATTATAACACCAGACAGTGATGACTTCTCTGGGGTACTCTCCTACGTTTTACGTTCTACCTGTATTCCATTAATACCTGGTTGTGGGTCACTGCTTGTTCGTCTTGCCAAGAACTTTTCCATAGACTTGTTTTCCCTACATTTTAACATTTATCTGTAGTGAGACATCAGTCATTCACGAATGAATGAATGAAAAACATTCACTTTGTTTTTCCTCTATGGTCATCCTCACATGACCTTAAGTTGAACCTTACCACTGACTTTCTTGGGACCCATGGCATGATGTATAATAATTACTTATATGTTCAAAAAACAAAAAAGCACAAAAATAATGAAATTCTGTACAAACACGATCGTCACCAAGTGGGTGGCTCTATTAAACTGCGGCAGAGTCGCCTGTGCCACCAGGAATCACGCTTGGCCGACCCATATGTGAATCAACAAAGTCTTGAGTCAAGGCAAAGGTCTTAAGTCTAGTCGGATTTTTCAACAAAATTGGGGGTCGTAATTTGAAAAACTTGTAATTAAGGGCATTCGTAAGTCAAGGTTCTACTGTACTGTAATTATGTGATTTTTTTATTCTCTTATTACAGTATTTCTGTGATAAACATTACCATTACTTAAATAAGCAAAGTAATAAAAATGGTAAAACAATTATTGAATGATTTTGGCTCTAAAATGGTGTTTAAAGGGAAAAAAAATTCATTTTGGTCTTGACTTAGACCAAGTTCTGGAAATACTCGAGTTATAAATCCACCTCGAGGCTGCTTTGACATGGTAAACACAAGTGCTCCAATTCAAAGGGCATCTAGGCATTTCTCCTTGACTAAGATGGAGACCCCATAATGTCATCTTTAAGGGTTATAGGGGGTAATGAATGGTTCAATGTAACACAAAGAATCGACTGGTCTGGTTGGTGAACTAGGGACAACTAGGTATTAAGCAGCCCATTCTTCCGTTTGTAGTACTCATACTAACGATGAGGACCATTGTACAGTACATATGTTGATGTGAAAGGCAATCAGAAAGTAGAAATTAGCACTACTGTTTTGCATTTGGAAGTTTTTGTACTGATGTTCCAAAGAAAACCTAACTTAACCTTCCTAACACAGAATTTGGATGCTCTCGGACGCAGGTTCGAAGCCTCGTCACGGCCCTTGTGGATTTGTTAACCTTCCTAGGCCTAATGTAGTACATGTATGGGCTACATACAAGTTATAATTAAGTTATAATTAAGCAGTCCATGAACAGCATTGCTTACTCCAAGTCCTGTCTTCATTTAATTAAGAACAATCTTTCCAACTACTCTTTTCCTTTCCTTTTCTGAAGCAACTCAAATTCAAAAAAGTAATTATCAACAGAAGGCACAAAGCCAGGGAAGACCAACACTGTGTTGTTGAATATTTAAAAGATCCTAAATATCACTCAGGATACCAACCGGGAGAATAAAAAGACAAGACGAGCGATGTCAAAGGCATCAGATTCACGAAGGATTCTAGTGGGGAAGCTACTCAAAGGGATATTGGTAAAGCCTTTAACCATCCTGAAAATCTGGACATTATATGAGGTATACAACTAAGTGGATAACATGGACCATAATGTTGCTCCATTAAAGTATCCATGAGCTTAGTGTGTGGGGCAGATACACAGCCTAGCCAAAGCTGTTTCACATCGCCTATTATGGTGACATGAGAGAGGCCATGGGGATAGGTCACATTTAAATGTACAGTTTATCCATAATACCATACCATCTATCGTGCCAGCGGTCACAGATTGTGGGTAGAAATCAGAATAAGAAATCCTTGTAGTGGAGGCAAGACAGGCACAAATAGCCTCTTTAGCAGTAATGTCCACAAGTTTGTTTGAGGTACTATAACATTAATATAGCAGGATACCCAACAAAACTAAACTTTCTTATCCTTAGCAGATTGAAGACAGTTTGAATTTCAAGCACCACAGGATGGAAATGATTAAGAGTAATGGAGGCCACAATAACAAAGGAATGGTGGTGGGTAATAAACAGCTGCTGAAGAGCAAACAAAACTGCATACAACTCTGCCATAAAACTACTAGTCTCTGGGGAAAGGTGGAACACTCGGGTTTGATTAGGAAAAATAAATGAGTAGCCAACACCATCGGCAGACTCGGACCCCATCCATAAACAGAACAGTACAGCATGGCTAGCAGGAAAAATAAGGCCCACCAACAGGGGTAGGAATCACAAGTACCACACAAGGGAATATGGGTGTTATAGGAACAGCATGAAGTACCAAAGGCAATACCAATCATGATGATCCTGCAGTGATATAACACCAGTTTCAACATACAGCTCTAGATACGGAATGAACAAAAGGACCAGTGTATATATCAAAGCAAAGGATCAAGGGTAAACCCAACAAATACATAGGTGCTACTATAATCTAGTTTAGACAAAACAAGGGAGGATTGTAAATAGAAAGGATGCACCAATCAACCCTAGGAAGTATGGGACAAGGCTTTAAGCATGGTAAAGACCTTTGATTATTCAATTCAGAGGCAAGTGATATGGGGCAACCAAGACGAGCATTATCCTTATACACATGGAGATTTCTATTGAGTGACAGATGGACAAAGAACAACAATTTCCTAAGTAAAATTCAAAGCACACATCGTAGTTGAAGAGCCTAACAGCCTGATTAACCAGATTACCAGCTAGGAGACCTGGTCAGAGACAGAACCACGAGGATATTGATCCTTAGAACCATCCCAAGGAATTACCATTTTAATAGCAACAACAGGAAATTATACGATCTTGACCTAAAATCTTTCAGCAAAGAGCCAACACAAAGTGTACAAAGTAAACCAAGATAATCCAACAAAGCACGAACCTGCAACCTGCCACTGTGCTCACCTAGTTGTGGCTGCGGGGGTTGAGCTTTGGCTCTTTAGTCCCGAGTTGATCTGAATGTGGTCTGCCAGCATGGGGCGTTTGTAAATATGAACTAGAACTAATGGAGCATGCAAATATAAACACCCAAGAAACTGCAGAATTATCCTACATACAAGTACATGTTGCTTTGAAAACGTGCACATTTTCCATCAAAATTTTAAAAATTTACTAAACAAGAAGGAATGTTTTAACAGAGATTGTTCCTTTGATATGGAATGCTGGGCAAAGCGAATAAAATCAAAAGAACACCATTATGAATACAGACTCATACATACCAGGGAGATTTTTTAGTAAGAGAGAGAGAGGAAAAAGAATGGCAAGATACGTCAAAATTCTACCATCAACTTGCTCAAATGCTAGACAGGACACAATGCCCTAGATTGTACTCTTACAACGATAACTGATTACGGACATGATTACCAATACATGTTACTCAAATCACAACTTGACTGAAGTTCAGACATGCATGGGCAATAGTCTGGTGCCGCCAGTCTCAAAATCATGAGGAGGAGAATTTAGCAATTCCAATTTTAATAACAAAAGCATTAGCTGGGAACAAATAAACTAAGACCTCACAGAAATATGCTGT